TAAAAATTATAGTGTAACAATTAAATGCCACAAGAGGGAATAATTATTTTACTCTAAACTTTAAAGGAAAATAAAAAATTTGATAATTACTGTTTGAAATACTTTCTCTATAATAAAAGCTTTTCCCCTTTATCAATAGATTAGGATAATAAGGGTAAATTTGAGAATGGGCATTTAATTTTTTTTTTTATAAAATGAAAATGGGACAAGCAAATAAAACTATTTAATTTACAAATGAGACAATAAAAAAAATGGGGAGTGTAAAATAAGAAATATTTAAATAGAAATGAAGTAAGACTATATAAGGATATGACGTTAGGCTAATAGAGTGTTTCGATTCTTTATTTTCACCATCTTTTCATAGCTAAGAGAAGGAGTTACATGGCATTTTATTTAACGACAAGGAGTTACGTATACATTGATCATGGTGAATAGGTCATTGAAGAAAAGTTAGTGCATCATTGAATAAATGAGTTAAAAAATATATGAAAGACAATGAAAAGGTAAAGGAAAATTATTGATACATCCTTAATTTAACATATTTTATAATATATTTAATAAAAAATTATTATTTTTAAATTTAAATTTATGATAAGAAAATTTTTAAAAATAAATTTTAATAATTGAATCAGAATATGTTTTACAATATATTAAATTAAATAATGTATCAATTATTATTCAAAAATAAAATATCTTATTATAAATATAATTTATAACAATATTTAAAAAAAATTAAATTAATTTTATTTGTTGACAACAAACCACACCACGTCCACAGAGAGGGGGGAAGAATGTCTTGTCAAATAGATAAGGTCACACAGTCATACACGAAACAACAGATTTAACCTACACACCGGTGTCAAAAGACAAAAATAAAAATGTACGTAGATGCTATTTCACAGTAAATTAACTCTAATTGAAAAGAGGTTAATCAATCACAGTGACAACCTGTCATTCCCTAAGTTGCTGTTTTGGTCAAATGCTCCAGTACTACTCTAGATTAGTAGATCCTTTTCATCTGCCTTTGAAATCTCGATCAGTTAATACATTCCTCGTCAATGTTACACCTGGAGAAGCTAGATTTATAATTTGAGGTCAAGACAATATAAAATAAACGCTATATACCTATAAGGTTGATTTTATAAATGTGTAAGATTATCTAATTTGCTAATCATAAAATTTTTAACTTAAATCATATCCTTAGTAAATCAATCTCAGACTAACTATATATCTCGAATAATCTTTAATTATCTTGCTCCAACTCAATTAACCAATAACATAAAATAAATAGCAGAAATGTTCTATAAAACCAAATTAATAGTCTTCGAGTTAAGTTACAAACTAAATTCTTGTAAATTTATACTAATGATCTCTCAATCCCCATGCAATCTCATGCTCACTCTTCATTAATTATCCAAAATGAGATAGAAACTTTGAAAATGTGAGTTAAACATCTCAATAAGTAATACACCCATCAAGTATAGTCAAGCATGCAATTCTTGTCTTTTAAAATAAAATATAGGCAAAATCTTTAAATCCATCCTTAAAAAAGACCGGTAGCGACGAATCTACCCCTCATAAAAATAAAGGGACAAACTAATCTTTTAAATCATAAATCAAGACAAATCACCCATTTTTTAACGTTTTTCAGCAAAAAATACTAATATGACAAATAGAATTCTTATGTTTTTCATTAAAAAATGATGATTTGTCTTGATTTATGCTTTGGATGGTTAATTTATCCCTTCATTTAAGGGGTGGACCCATCCCTGTCAATTTTTTTTAAGAGTGGATTTAAGGGTTTTGCCTAAAATATAAAATCACATTTCATTACTTAACATTAAAATATTCAACTTTTGTTCTTTAGGACTATATAATTATTCACAATTCACAATATATAATCCATAGATCTCGATTTTATCATAATATCATCAGGATTGATCCTAATAAGGATTAACCATGTAGTTAGTCTAGAACACAAATCATTTCAATAATAATAATAACAATTAACAATTTAAAATAATTACTTTCCACATAATCACAATTTCATCCTGAAACATTAAATAAAACTAATTAACATATTTGGCCTACAATTCATCTCATTTCATGAAAAAAACAATTTACCAAAATTTTATTCAAAAAAGATTTTAAGTTACTCAAAACTCATTTAAGTTGATAATAATAAGAAAAAAAAAAAACTCAAAACTCATTTAATAAAAACAACTTTATTTTGCAACTTTATTTTAAAAACATTAAAAAGTATAGCTACCTACCACCAATGATGAGCCAAGAATCCATTAAACAAGATACCCCTCAACTACTCGAACACCCTAAACAAAAGGAGCCAATACCGACTAATCACTTAACACAGGACGATTCCTACCTCAAGTGTGCTTAATTGGTGTTTTGCTCTGAATCCACTACTTCTACAAAGCCTAGAATCCAAAGTAGATTCCTCTCGTGGTGACTAACACACACATCTCCAAGATTAATTAAGAGAAGTCCGAATTCCTCGAGTGCTGGCTCAAGTGAGACTCGGAGTGCTCTTTTCTTGTGGTTTTAGTTCTAAAATTAAGAAAATTTTGATGCTATTCTTCTTGGTAAGGTGCGGCTACCTAGGGTTGTTGTGTTGTTGAAGAATTTTCCATTTTTCTTTTCTCTTTACGTGCCTAGGGTAAGGAATTTTCTAACCAGTAGAATATGTTTTCTCCTCCTATTTATACTAATCAGCATTAGAGCCTCGGTAGAATTCAGTAATTTTACTCGAATTAGATTTATATTCACCTTACTTTGTCTCAAGTCATGGTAGAAAACAAGGAATTAAATTCCTTTCTTATCCACCAAGTCAATGCTGCACACCTTAGACCAATTTGGACTTGAAGGTTGACCATCATGGCTGATTAGACGAACTTCGGTTCATTTCTTGAATTGGTCTTATCTTGAAACAAACTAGATTAATTAAATCCATTCCACCTTTTCATTTCTGAAATTTGATTAATTTGTTTTCTTATGAAAATATTATTTAATAGAAATTAAACCTTTTTCCACTTTCTAGGATTACGTAAAACCAAATCACATGACGACATACCATTGCTTGTGACTCTAGGTTTCTATCACGTTTTAGGCAAGTTGCACTACTATCATGAGGAGCGTCTAACAATTGATCCTGGTCACCCAAATGATATAAATGTTGTTGGTTTCAATAAACCTTTCCATGACTAATTACTGTGTAATTCAATATTTTCTTCAATTGATATCTTGATCAAGAACAATGAAAGACGGGGTTTTGGCGGTTTTGGCTAGTAGTATTCTAACGTAGGGAATAACATGTGCATGAAAAAGGAGTTGTGAAAGTGGAGCTCATGCTTTTTCAAAATGTGTCCCTTTGGTTAAAGGTATTGGCCCTTGTAAGCTACTCCAACTCTCCAAGAATTCTTTTCCTTCCAACGTGAGACCCTTGGTTTTGGGGGAGAGCTGTCACATTCTTCCCACTAATGGTGCTTGATGTTTTCATTAAGGGCTTAATCTTACTCATAAGATTTGTTTGTGTAGAATTGTTTAAAGTCAGCTTTGAACCAATTCTGCCCTACCACTGCTCAAGAAGAGATGCTCAATGAATCTAATGCCATTTGTAATGACCTAAAAACAGTTATAGATATTGTCTGCTTTAGCCCACCAAAGTGGAGTTCATGGTTTTTCAAAACTCACCCACTTTGGTAAGATGTGTTGGCCTTAATACACTACTATAAGACTCCTTTTTTTTTCAATGTGCAATTCTTGGTTTGGGGGAGGGTTATTAAATTTTCCCCTACTAGTTGTACTTGATGTCCTTATCAAGCCCCTTCCAAATCACAAATAGGCTGTCTCATTTTCGTGCTTTATTATTGTGTGATTTCCCTAAACTCAACATTGTGCTAAGGTTTGCCCTACCACCATTCAATAGGATGCATACTGTTGCTCTAATACCATTTGCAGTGACCTGAAAATGACCATTGATATTGTTTGCTTTGGCTCGATGAAGTGGGTCTTATAGTTTTTCAAAATGTGTCCACTATGGGTTGTTACAGATTTGACGGTCCTTGAACAAGATTCTAACTCTCCTCCGGTTCGTGGGACTATGTTCAATGGGTAGGCACTTTGTTTTTGCCCTCTCTAGAAGCTAGCTTGGCAGATGGGATTATTTAGTAGTTTAGGACGCTTGTAACATTTCAAAAGCTCTATTTATGCCTCATGGAAATTGTTTTTTGCAACTTCTAGTGATGCATGGTTCTCTTTGTTTAATTGCCTAAATTTGTGATAGGCAAAATCTTTTATTACTAGTATTATAGGATTAACTTCTTTTCACCTCTAATGGCTCTTTACCATAAGGATTATTGTTGTAATCTCGTCACTTTATTAATAAATTACATTATTCTCCACAAAACAATTCTAAGAAAATTAGCACAATGGGATAATTATTATTAACCCTCCAATGGATGGTGACATTTTTCTTGGACTCGATTGGATAGATGAGTTAAGCATGGTTCCTTCAAGCTAGTTAAGAATCCTCTCTCATAAAAAATAAACAATTAATAAATAAATAACTAAATTGTTATTTAACACTCTTCTTATTTACTAAATTAAGGGTGGCTCCTACTTGGTGGAGGAACTTGTGAACTGAAAAGTTAAACCTCAATCACTAGTTTCTGAAGATTCCTCTGCAACTCTCAAATGGTTCCCTTTTTAAAAGTTTCTAAACACATTATCTTCGCATTAGCAGATCAGTACTTGACGAAACCCAACAAGGCAACAATCAGTTTGCTTCTTGATGAGTCATTGTACCACAGCAAATCCCATTAACAAGCAATCCTTCACATTAGAAAAGAAGAAATTGCTCATAATTACAAAGAATATACGATATTGATTAATTATAAAAGCACTTGGGGACAGAACTTAGTGGGTGTGCCTTTTTGGAGAGGCTCTAAATGATGAAATTTAGAAGTCAAAAAAAGCTGGGAACTACAACTCTCTTCTTCCATTTCTTTTTCTCCAATTTTGATTTGGTTGCATTTTGCCCTAGAAACAAACAAAGCTCAACAAACCATATCATTAAAAAGTGAATAATCTTATAATCCCCACCTAATTAAGAATGTCATCTTCTCTTCCAAACTAGCTTTACATTATTCTTTGTCCATACCCACCCATTTCATCACTTTTCTTTTATTAATTTGTACGTATTGCGTCTAGGCCGAAGGAAATAATCATTGATAACAATTAGGTGTTGGGAACTTGTTTTTCTTTGCTGTAGCTTTTATTTCACTTATATCTCGTTTTGAATAGAGGTTTTTTTTTTTTTTTTT